AAACATTAAAGAACATAAGAATATTATTCAATAAATTTTTATTTTACTTTGAATTTTCGATTTCCAAGAAATGTACTTTTAAATCGTTACTTTTTTTGTTTAGTACTTGTACTTTTACTTGTACTTTTTACTCGCTACTTTTTAAAATAAGAGCTTTTTACTTTTTACTCGTTATGTTTTTAAGAATACTTGTACTTTTACTCATTACTTTTTAAAAGTAACGTTGCCATAAGTGATCCAATTAGATCTAATGTAGATTCACCTGCTCTAAAGTTGAATTGTATAAGTATTTTTAAAACTAAAAGTTTAAAAAAGTTTTAAAACTTGAGCTTTGAAATTTTTTTAAAAATATGTGCTCGTGCTCTTTTAAAAAGCAAATATTTTTAAATTTCGCTTCTTATTCTGCAATTTATAACGGAAGTAATGATTTAATAATACAATTGTATTTTAAAATCTGCATTCAACTTGTGTTTTAAATATGAAAGCTTTTAAAATAAATGTATTAAAAATGTCTTTTCTAAAAAAAATGACAAAGTATCATTGATTCAAGTAAAGGGGTAATCAATGGTGGCCGTACTTTAGGTGGTTGTAGACCATCGATAGCGAATTTTTGTAATTTCAATTAAATTATCACTTCTTATGATTTTTTTAATGATTAAGAAGAAAAAATGGTTTTAAGGAAACAAATAATTAAAAAAAAATTTTTTTTTTGAGTAAAATATGATGAAAAAAATCTCTGCAGGAAAATATAATATTAAAAAATGTTATTGATAGATTTAAATATTTTTATTAAGCATTAAATGTCTTGGAGTAAAAGAATTATGATACGCCTGCTTAAAATATTCTATAGCCAAAATAAATGTCAACACTCCAGAAACGTTAGAAATGAAGGGAAAAAACATAAGAAAAATAGCTGGTTGTAAATTGTTAAATTTGAATTATATTTTAATGATTCTAGTTTAAAACCTGTTTATAATAATCAAAAAGTAATAATTTCAGGCTCCCGAAGTATAGCGGTTTAGATCCAAAGTTTAGATCCTTTATTATTAGCTTTATTTTTTGCGTATTTTACCATATCTCTTAAACATTTAAACGAATTAAAAAAATTTGCACACAATTATAAAATTTGTTTATCCCTATACAATTGCCTGCGAAAAATAGTTTTCAATAAATATTTATTATCTTTTATTATTTTTTTTAATAATAGTCTAAAAACCTTTTAATTCTGAGTTACACAATTTTTTTCTATCATTTTAAAGAATGCAATTTTGCTTGGCAAAATAGAAGATTGAGTGAAATCGCTTGACTAGTCCTTGAGAAAGCGAATTTCAACGAAGCATTACTTTTAAAATTCGTTACTTAAGATTATGAAATTTAGAATTTTGTAGAAAAATAATAAGCAAGAAAAATATCTAAGACATTTCGATAGTAGAAAATCAAAAATATTTTGTGATATTAGAACAGAAGCAGCAAAAGTATTGTTTGTTTGAAATATAGAAATATATAGACAATTATTTTGAACTTTTTTCGATACAATGCTCTTTTTTACCAAAAGGTTTATCCGGGCAAAAATACTCCTTCTTTAATAATTGTCTTGTTCAGTCATCCTTTTTTTTCGAATTTTCGACTTGGTTGATTTCAATATATTTTTTTTTTAAATTCATCAATATTCTACTAGTTTTGACGGCACTATTTAGAAACTTTAAACTTAGTCTGATAAACAACTTGATTTTGGAATGAAATGAATTCAAGAACTTTGAAACAAATTATATAAATCTCTCACAGATGTAACAGAATAATGCAAATTGTGCTAATATAATTCATAATTCAAACGTGCTAATATAATTCAAAAATATTTCATCATTTTTACATGTGCGTTTGGCAAATTTCTGCCTATACGTATGGTAAATTTTGTTAGTGCATATAGTAGTATTTTGCCAAACGGTAGTAGCTAAAGTGTATAGTGAAATTGAACTATAGGTTAAAACTAATGGAGATATTCTACTTTACGTTTTACGCCAAACATATTAAAAATTTTCCTAAGGGATCCTCGGAGGTGGGCAAAGTTTCCACAGCCTGCCACCCCTTTAGTAAGTCTATGAAATAAGTTCCAAGCATTTTCTGGGACTTGGGGATTCCTCGTTCAGCTAACCACCTATAGGGAACATCTTGCACCCCAAAGTCTAAGGTCAAGAAAACTGGGATGGGCAGAGTAGGCGTTGACACTCAATGGCCTATTGCACCACTGAGTTTAGTTTTTTTAGTTTATTGTTGTTGATGTAATTAATTTACGTCGCACTAGAGCTGCACAATGGGCTATTGACGACGGTCAGGGAAGCATCCCTGAGGAGGATCCGAAGACATGCCATCGCAATTTTGATCCTCTGCGGAGGGGATGGCACCCTCGCTTTGGTAGCCCGACGACCTGCACCGAAGTCGAGCACTGTAGACCAGTTACGGTAGAAAAGTTTAACGAGGACTAATACCGCACACCCTCGGTCCCTGCTCAGACTAATCCAAGTGGTCACCCACCCGCACACTGCCCGTAGCCAGTGATGCTTGACTTCGGTGATCTGCTGGGAACCGTGTCTTAACGATGAGTCTACTGCGGGACTTTATTTGGAAAACTTAATATCAATATATATAGAGCCAATTAAAAAGGAAGTTTGTAATGTATGGAAAAAGGAAATATTCGACTCCTTGAAAGGGATAAGTGCGGGAGAAAATTATTTGATTGTTGTAAATTTAGACTATCATGAATTAGCCTCGAGCAACAGTATCATGTAAAGTGATAATGAGGAACGTAAATGAAATATTTACCCCGACCTGCCCCAATTGAGGGCATACGGGTAAATGTTTATTAAAAACCAAGTAAAAAAAACATTAAAGAACATAAAATACAAAAAATGCATAAAATACATAAGATACAAAAGNTAACGAGGGCAGCGGACGTGGGAGCACAAATAGTATCCAAAAGAATTCAATTTCCTGCCAACTAATATTATCAAAACAACAATTATTTACTAAAATAAGAAATGATCAAATTGAGGAAAGGAATACAAATAAATCACATTTAAAAGCAAACCAGTTTGAAAAACTTTCACACGATTGTAAAATTTCTAAATTAATCTAATTACTGATACATCTTTTAGTGTGAAAATTAACCAATCTTTAATTTTCGCATTTAAAAAAGTGTCGTTGATTTTCACCAACACTGACTTATAACTTGGTCATTAATTGCTTATGATCCACCGTTCAAGAAGGAGGAATTTTTGGAAGTAAGTCCCAAAACAAATGACCGTGTCCTAAAAAAAGATAAGAAAATAGGAAAAAGTTCAAAACGATAATGAAATTTAAATTCGAACGAGAATTATCGGACATAGTATACTGCGGAAGTTTATCGAATGCGTCAATTCTAGATTCGTTCAATTAGATCTAATGTAGATTCACCTGCTCCAAATTTTAAGTATCTAAGTATTTTGAAAACTAAAAGTTTAAAAAAAGTTTTAAAGCTTAAGCTTTGAAATTTTTTTAAATATGTGTGCTCTTTTAAAAAGTAAATATTTTTAAATTTCGCTTCTTGTTCTGAAATTTATAAAACGGAAGTAATGATTTAATAATACAATTGTATTTTAAAATCTGCATTCAACTTGTATTTTAAATATGAAAGCTTTCAAAATAAATGTATTAAAAATGTCTTTTCTAAGAAAATCGACAAAATATCATTGATTCAAGTAAAGGGGGAATCAATAGTGACCGTACTTTAGGTGGCTGTACTCCATCGATAGCGAATTTTTGAAATTTCTATTAAATTATCATTTCTTATGATTTCATTAATGATTAAGAATAAAAAATGGTTTTAAGGAAGCAAATAAATTTTTTTTTTGAGTAAAATATGATGAAAAAAATGAAAATCCTAAATCAAATATTGGAAGAAATTTGCCTTCGTGGAGGACTTTTTGATAAAACAAACCCGCATAAATTGCGCCACATGGAAAGGAAAAGAACGAAAACCCATGTGCCAGTTCCAGAGCACTACTATGACTACTAAGATGATATGGTTGTGCGGTGAAGGTGAAAAAAATACTCTACTCTTTCTTTGGTGAGCAGTTAATAGGATCATAGAGCGTTTGCCTACCTATGAGGTGAACCGGGTTCAAATCTCAACAATGGCTGGTCGATACGAATCCGCATTCGGCTTGTACCGACCACAGTGCTGACATGAAATATCCTCAGTGGAAGAAGGATCATGGGTTAGAGTCCCTTTTGCCATCATGCTAACCGTGGGAGGTTCTCGTGATCTTCCTCTCCATGTAACGCAAATGAGGGTTCATTCCATCAAAAAGTCGCCCACGATGACAAATTTCTCCCAATACTTGATCCAGAAATTACCTTGCCTTCTGGATTGGGTTCAAAATTACAAGGCTACAAAGTTGAACATTAGTAGTCATAAACCCAAAAATTGGGTCGGATGTTCAACGCCAGTTATTAAAAAAAAAGATCCAGTGTTTGAAGTGAAAGAAGGCAGTTTATTAAACCTAAGCGGAGAGAGCGTGATTCACTCAACATGAAGCTGGATCAATTTCAATATAGGAGTGTTGGGCAGTTTTCATGGTCCCAACAAAAAGCATGATGATTTGCGATGGAAAATTATAATGGTAACCAATAAATTATGATGGATCGTGATGACTGTTGTTGGTCCAATATAAAAATCCATCATACTATGATGGGTATGCTACGTTGGTACAACATGAAAAGGTGCCAATTCCTAACTTGGGATGTCAAACAGGTTTGACGGTCCCATCAAGCTGTATGATAGTTTCTGATGGAAATTCAAGATTGTAATCATCACATTCATATTGGTTCATCAATGGAAAACCATTATGATATTTTTTCTTCGGTGAAGAAGTAGAAGAAGAAAAATGCACAGATATAGAGAAATAACTTATATGGAGATATCGGTTATAAAATATTTCACAAGAACGAATCTGAAGCCTATATAATTTAAATATATTTATTATTTATACAAAATATTTTTACAGTTTTCTTCGTCTTTCCCATCGAAACAATCTTCTTTTCCATCACAGACAAGTATTCTTTGCTTGCAGACATTTTTATCGCATCTTATTTGGGATTTTTCATCGCATTCGTGTGAGCCGCAACCGAATTCATCACTCGCATCCAAACAGTTAACTTCTCCGTCACATCTGAGATACTCCGGAATGCACTGTTGGTTGTCACAGTAAAAACCACTGCAATGGTTTTCAGCTAGAGGGAGATAAATGTATAAGTTATAAGGTGATCACAATGTTCGAGATTTTTAGTATAAAGTTAAACCTCACGGAAATGACCTCTCTCCATTTTGCAATAAAATGGTTGTTGATGGAGGTTGGTCGTTCTTAGAGGTTACCACCATTGTCTTCGAAATTGTTATCGAAAGTACATGATTTTAAATTTAGTCAGTGTCATTTTGTTGGTGCGGAAAGGCCGCTTCTTTTGGCCTCATGAAAAGACGATTCTATGAATAAAATTGAGTGTCTATAAAAATTATGCGCAAAAACAAATTTATATATAATTATGTTTTGTTGTTGTTGCACACCCCTATTAGCCAGCAGTGCTAGACCAGGTCCATGACGTTATACACCCTCAAAAAATCCAACACCGTCAATGGATCATCTGCTAAATCCTGTTTGGTGAGCCCGAGGCACGCGAGGATGTGGTGAGGCAAAGCCTGGTCTGAAGAACAGTTTGTACAAATTTCAAAGTTCTTGGATCCTTCCGAAAATTTCATTGATTTAAGGTGACCAACCTGTTCGAAAGCTGGCAAGAATAGTTTGTTCCTGACTATTAAAGCCTTGGTCCAGGGAGCCGCCAGAACACTGATACCATCGGTGCTTTAGGGGGACATTTCAAGTGGTCTTGTTCTTGTGTAAGATTTCCAAAAAGGTGAGGGGTGCCGACGGTACAGATGCCTCGCAAGCAACAGCTTTAGCCAAAGTGTCCGCTATCTCGTTTCCTTCAAGATATAATTGTAATTCATTCAAGATAATTATGTGTAAACATAATTTATATAATATGTATAAATATAATTATGCGTTAACTTAATATTAAAAACAAATTTGCGAATGATGAATCTATTTTAAATAAATAAACAAGTATGCTTTTTTGTTTAAGTTTGTATTTAACTTTATATCATAAAAATTAGTTAGCTTTAAAAGATGAGAACAAGTTTGTTTGTCTGAGATGCTCGTATTTTCTGAAATATTTTTTTCTTCTAATTTAACTTTTAACTCTTTTTTAACTCTAAAAGTAAATGATAAGGTAGCATCGTCTTCAGAACACTCTGACTGCAACATGAGCTCTACCGTCAAGAAGAGCTCTCTAAATAAGACACAAATATTTAGAATACACTTTAATCTACTTATTTGTTTTGTTAATATTTTTTATTTCGATATTTTTTGGTGTTTCCATGCCTGACCCTTTCCGCTTTTGGTTCAGAGGTTTGCTCGCTCGCTGGGGGAGGATTTGATGGTCGCTCCTAAAGGTTTTCTTCGACATAAAGTCTATGGAAAACGTTTCGCTCCTCCTAAATTTAGTTGCAAATAGAGGAAGTCGTTACACATAAGTGATTATTCATTGAGCTTTCACTGTAGTGAGGGTCAACGCCGCTGTTTTGGGTGCTCAACTTAACGTTACATTTTGTTTTGCACAGCAAAAACTATAAGACATAAAAACGTGAAAATGCTAAGAATGTAAAAACATGTGCACGGAGTTCCATGAAGTAAAAAAAAATATGATTCGATTGTTGGTTTTAAAATTATTAACTGTTAAACTTTTAGTAATAAGAAACACGTTTGTCGATCCGTTGAAGTGCAATTACAGTGCTGAAATTTAATGTGCAGATAGGATCAATTTGTATTATAACTTTAAAGCGAGGGTTTTCAGAAATTTCCATTTGCTTGAAGGTCATTGTAAATTCGAATGCTTTTTTGCGATTTTTTTCAGCTTTTTTGCTTTAAATAGTGACTATTTATCCATTGAATTTTTTTTCCCTTGATCTGTTTGTTTTATGAACTTTCGTACAAATAAATGTTAATCAAAAGTAACAAAACAAAAGAAAAAAGTAGAGATTGCGTGTTGCCAGATATAAATCTCAACATTTATTGTGAAATTTTTACAAAAGGAAAACGTTTGCTTATGTGTAAAATACAGGCATTCAAGAAGAAATAAACAATGATGAATGATAATTAATTACGGGTGTTGGCGATCGGAGCCTTCTAGTAATTAAAAAAATTCCAACCAAAAGAGCCAATTTTGGACATTCATGATGCTAACTGAGTCAAATGCAACACCCCAATTTCGAAGAACCACAATTTCTTTTTTATTTCCCTGAATTTGAGCCTAGATATTTACAAATAGAAGTGAGAATACAAGTTTAATTATAATATTGTGTGAATTATTTTCAGAGAGAACAATTTTGTGCTTTGATGCATTTACAAAATAAGTAGAGTACGAAAACGGACAATTGTTTTTCAAAAAAAAAAATGAAAGCATGTATTTTTTTATTTATTTATCAATCCTCAAAATAATTTTGCCAGTATTTAAGCATTTTCTTTCCTTATGAATTATTTCAGCAACAAAATACCATTTTTCTTCCTCTTAAATTCTAAGATTGTTCAAAAATTGTAACGTGTGTTAAAACGATAATTCCTTCTCAATATATATATATANTATATATATATATATACACTATTTAATACAATTTAGCAAGAATCCATTCATTTAGTCAAATAGCCATCACTAGGTAAAGTGCACAATTCAAATTAGTAACCCAACAATGTTTAAGCATTCTGCAGGTGTACTCTATCTGTTCTTACGTGTTTATTTACATTTGTATTTAATCTTCCTCTATATATGCTCAAGGTGTTCAGTAATTCCCGGCCCTTAGTTAGAAATCAGTTATTCTATAGATTATCTAGCTGATGTACAGAGAGATTAGCTAAGGTGATCAATTAAAGTGCCAGAAAATTGTTTCCTTTCTCAACTTGCCTATGTAATCTGCAAATTATCTAGATATTCTGCACATTATTTAAAATGCTCTCCTTAAAGTGAAAACAAGATCTTTACTGAAACAACAAAAGCGGTAATGTACGTTTAAATTTATCTACAGTTTCTTTATATATTTTTTGCTATCTAAAAAAATTCCGATGCTCGCATGGCTAACGAGAAACCTTATACTACGATCTGGTCAAGATATAATTGATACTTTTGTATTCCACACAATTGGCATTTGTATGAATTCCAAATTATTGACATAAATATAGTTTTGTTGCTATTGAAGATATATGTTGTCGAATTTGTTGTATTATTAACAGTTATATGATAACAATATTAAATACATTCGTGAGTTCGTTTCGTATTGGCATAAGGACATTATGTAATATTCCGTATTATGAATATTTTTGGTAAAATCTAAAAAAAACTTTAAAAAAAATTAAAAAAACTAATAAAAAATCATTTAAAAAATATATATTCCGTAAAATAAACAATTCTGGAATAGTCATCATATAGAGAAATATTAATAACCAATAATATTAATAATTCTCTAAAAAACCTATTTTAGAAGCTTATTTTAAATATGAAAAACATTGTTCGAAACTATTGTAAAATCGGAGGGGAAAAAAACTTAACAATTGAGAATAAAACAAACAATTTCTTTTTTCTAAATCCATGAATTTTCCGAATTATCGTTTTTTACTTAGTACTTTTTCCTTAAACTTTGAACTAGTATCGAACATAAGTAAAAGTACTAAACCTTAAAATAAACAAAGCACGTGTTAGAATTAAGAAAAATTATTTTATTTTCCTTATTTCTTAAAAAGTATGGCTAAATCTTACACTTTATAATAATATCAAATTCTTCCAAACTTTCTAACAGTATAGAATTCACACAAAAAATAATAAATAATGAAAATACTTAATATTTTCAATTGGATCAGAGATATATCTAACACTACCGAGTTATAAAAAAAATCAATGTAATCAAAAATTTCGAAATTGTCATTTTCATACATTGATTCATTCTCGGGGAAACAATCAATTTGGAATTACCATGCCGGTTTAAATTAACACAACTTTAGTAAGACATAGATGCATGGAGAGCTAAAGCTACGTAAAACATAAAAATAAACATTTACTAATCACGTCAGTTTGTGCTGACATCTATATTTTAGTTTGAGAACTATTTTGAACAGAAACAGTTATATTGTTGGATAAGCTGCTAAATGCAAAAAAAGGATGGCTAATATATACATATATATATATAATATAGTAACGTATGGTTCATATGGCAATGAATTTAAATTTACAATTTTTATCAAATTTATAGTTTTTATGAATTACACANTGTTAAAATAAGTCTTGCTTTATCAATTCTATAAAATTTTATTTTAAGATTCATGAAAGATAATGAATGTCAATCCATTCTTCTCTAATTTTATAGTGAGGCTGTTTTTTCAATTGCGTGAAGAACACCAATTATACTTACATTTAACTTTCGAATACTTTATCATGCAGTTTATTTCATCAGTTCCATCGGAGCAGTCGTGAATGCCATCACATATGGAATTTTTATTGATGCAGCGAGAATTATCACATTTCATTTGAGTCTTTATATCGCATTTGTGGTGTTCACACTCGGTTTCATCTTCGCCATTTAAGCAATCCCTTATTCCATCACATTTCCTGAGGTTGGAGATGCACCAATTGCTCCCACAATAGACGCCCCTACACTCTTCTTTTGCTGAAAATAAAGACCATGCAAAATATTTTTTTATTTCAGTTGAGAGCCGATCATCCGAACGTCGATGTACCGGATTGCCAGCAGATTTACTTAACATAAATGATATTAATGTATTCTCAAAAAAAAAAAATCTTAATCAATAGTGAATTAAGATTTTTCAAAATTTTAAATTTCATGATCTTAAGTAACGAAATTTTCTTTAAATATCGATTTCTCAAGAACTATTCTAACGATTTCACTCAATTTTCCAGTTTGCCATGTAGAATTACATTCTTTAAAATGATGTAAAATATTGTGTAACTTAGAATTGAAAGTTTTTTTTTACTATTATGAAATAAAATAACAAAAAATAATACGTATTTATTAATATAAATGTACTCTCAAAGGAAAATCTTAATTAATAAGAGTTTCATCTTTCAATAGTCCAGGGTCACCAATTGAAAAATATATAGCACTGGAAACTTATCGAGTGTTGACGGAATAGAGGACAAATTATGGTGTTAAAATTGGGATTCAAACATGAAATTGACTGGTTAGCTTTTTCGGTAGAAAGGAGCAAAGTGACTCCATAAGGAACTTACCACGCACTTATCATTAACAAATTATTTGGCATTCACTGTCCTAATTTCTACGAATAAAGCTCTCTTTGTTTCACCGTATTCAGTGAAAACCGGCTATAAGAGGGTTTTCTCACAGTTACAAGTTTGAATACCATTTATGGCTACTTAAGTGTTTTGGTTGAGTCAATGGTAAAATAACAATTAAATAAATTTTTATTTAACGTTTTTTGAAAATGCTAACAGTGTAAAATTATTGTTCATTGTAGCAATTTTTATTTATTTAGAAAAATTATTATAAAAAATTTGAGTTTAATTTCTATTTGTTAGACAGTTTTAATTAGTATATCAACTTATTATAAAAATGTTAAATGCATTCATTTAGCATAAAAATCTAATTTATAAATTTAACGAGAGAAAAAAAAGTCCAAATTTGATTTAAAAATAAAGTCAAATAAGTTTAAAAAACATCTTTATTGAAGTAAGGAATAAGCAATTTTAAAAGGATTATACGATGTATATTTAGCAGGAATAATAAAATGAACATTGCACTATAAAATTACTCATTTTTCTTTCATTTAAATATTTGTTTCTAATCGGAAAACAAACTTCAGCAAGGTGCCTATACAAAACAAGAAAAATAATTCATTTTGAAATGAATAAATTAATAATAAAATGAATAAATTTAATAATAAAATCAGTAAATTAATAAATATGAATAAATTAAATTAAATTAATAAATATAAATAAATTAAATTAAATTAATGAAAATGAATTATTTAAATTGATTAATAAATTATATTAAGTTAATGAAAATAATAAAGTAAGTTAATAATGCTTACTACAATTATTTTCATCAGCTAAATCCCCACAATCAGCTTCGCCATCACACTTGAAAGCTTTCAAAATACACTTATTTTCGCATTTAATGAAAACTTCCTCATCACACCAGAGTTGTTCCTCGCTATCATTTTCAATCAGATCATCTTCAGATGTATCATCATCGTGCGATTCAGGCCAATAGGCTTTTTCACAACTTGTTGCCTCTTTAAAAAAATGTGATTTCATAAACAAAAGGAATTAAGCATTAAAAATATATAACTGATTCCCGCAACCATAATTATAATAAAAATTTCTTCTAAGTGGTGACATTAGGTAGAGAAGAGCTATTAAATTCATTTCATTGGATGAAAAACGAACTTTTATTCATACTTTTTTTCCTTTTTTTAAGTCAGCCCTTATTGAATCAACAGTATGCTCTGAAAAGAAAGGATACAGTACCGTCACATCTAGTGCCCATGTATTTAATGTACCTAGAAAATAACGAATTGCTATAGTACTGGTTCTATGGTACGCTGAGGGTGGTAAATTTACCGGAAATAAACCAAAAAATTCTTCTTAGATTTAATAACAGTAGATTTAATGATTGTAAGAATGATTTTATTTTCTACTTTGCAAATCAATCTCCAATTTTTGCAGTTTCTACTATACGCTAAAATAGTGTTAAATAGCTATGTATTTTGTTGAAAAAAAATTATTTTCAAATAATGATTTTTTTTAAATGAACTATGAAAGCTTTGAAATGTACATTTATTAAGTTACTCAAGGTATTATATGCCAAATTAATACATACTTTTTCATGAAACGGTCATGTTATTGATGAGAAATTATTTCTATTAAAAAATTTAGCAAAACGCACTAAAAATAAACCTTTAAATTAATATAATTTTGCCTAAAAAAACTGCAAGAAAATCGACGTGATTAGTTTATTTATTTAAGTCGTATTTTTGTTGAATTAACTAAGAGAAGGTCTCCAAATGCTAAGCGTTTATAAACCCATTCAATTTTAGGACGTGCATCTCATACAGAGTTTAAATAGTTTTCAAATCTTTGATGAAGGGGAAAAAGGCACCAAAAAAACGGATGCCGCTGAATATTTTTCGATCTAATGATTGGATCTGAACGTTCTAAGCACAATCATAATGACTCAAAGGGATACTAGTTTGGAAAATCAGAAATACAATTCTAGAAGAAAACGAAGAGTAATTTAAGATATGTGTGTTCACAAGGCAGCACTTGATCAGGAGACACACTTATTCTTAAAAATATTGAAGATTTAAATTTAAGATAAGATTATGAAAAAAAATTGTTAACTAAAAACTTTAAAACCTTTAGGCCAAGTATAAGGGACTTAAACTATGACATATTTTTATTTTCCTTAGTGACAGAGCTTCAAAAAACATCGTTAAAAACCATACGGTAGCTCAGAAGCTGTGCACGTTAAAATATCTATTTTCAAAAAAGTTGAAAACAGTCTTTACCTATAAACAACAGGAGACAACAGTCTAATTGAAGTTATTAAAAATACAATAATTTTTAGTTTTCTTATGGATTTCGAATGTTCTGATTTGTACAGTATGCAAGACTTACCTTCATCAGTGTGGTCGCTACAGTCATATAATCCATCGCACACTTCCCACTCAGGGATGCACTGTCCATTGCCGCATCTGAACTGATGCCTACTTGGGCATTTTCTCTTTTCACATCCTGCCTCATCGCTGCCATCCAAGCAGTCTTCATGACCGTCGCATATCCAACGAGTCTGGATACACTCTCCGTTGAGACATAAGAATGGGTCAGAGTATATCCACGTGCAGTCAGAAGCAGAAGTGACTTATGAAGTGAAGAATAAAAGAGAAGAAAAAAAATATTATTAGATTGTGATGATTCCATCGAACCAATAAATTTTTAAAATGAGTTTTTTTACGGGCTGGCAAAAAATATGGTCAAAGTTTAAAACAAAATATTTTGTTTCCGTAACGTATTACATAAATTGAAGAAGTTGGCGAGTTATAGAATTTTTAACAGCCTTTTTAGTTAAGAATATTTTGGCTCCCTACAGTTTTATACTGTCGTATCACCCGAGAACGTGGGCCGGGATAGCCTGGTCGGTAGAGCGCTGGACCCATGTCTAAGAGTTCGTGGGTTCGAACCCCGCCAGTCGAAGACTCATGACGAAGTAAAATGGTGACTGATGCACGTTAAATCTTTCGAGTCGTAAAGTTCTCCATGCTCCCATGACAAATCAATACCTCTGGGGGTACTGAATTGGAGAATGATCGTTCTCTTATTAAGGTCAAAATTACGATCTGTGGACGGATGTATGAATAGGTCCGCCCTATAAACGGGCGTGACGTATGGGTGAGGCAGAAGTAGAATTCCTGGCCATAGATGGCGCCACTGGAAAGCAAGAAGAATCGTACCCCTCTGCCTTAACAGGCATACGTGAACCACAACAACACGAGAATTTTATTATTTTTTTTGGTCCCTATAATTCTATTTGAACCCATGTAAGTATGTAATTTTATCATGCTAATGATTTATTTTATATAGATGCGATTCTTAAACACGTTCGAGTGATAAAGTTAATAAAAATGTTATCAAAATGTATTTTAAGAGATCAATGCCTGGGACATCATTTATTTCACCACCAATAGGTCGAGCGAAAAAACTGCCTGCTGACAAAAATATTTTGCATTTTCGAATTTTGGATAGAACATATATTAATTTTCAGCAATAAAAAATAATGTTTTTTTTTTTTACATCGAAATTTGAAAAAAAAAAAGTCCGACAAATCAATGAATGAATGAAATCACTGAGTTAATAGCAATGAAAAGACTTTTATTGCTTTATTGATATTACATACATTTACAGGCTTGTGTGCTCAATTTAGACTTATAAGTATTAAAGATTTATATTCGAAAACATTTTGAATAAGAAAAATAGTAAGAATTGTGATTTCCTTGTTTAAAAAAAAAAAAAAAAAAAACCTAAAATTTGAATCTAAATATACTTTTGCATCTATGCATATCTAACAATTTAATAAGTTGGCTTAATACTTGCTACATTTTTATTCTTATAACATCTAGAATCTTATGAAACAAAAGTCGTATTCCTATTTAGATATTATATAATTATGTATTATGTAAAAATGTGTTTATTTTTAAAATAGATTTATTGTAACTCTTTAAGTTAATTATATTTATTACAGCTTGTTGATTTATATGGTATGGTATTTAAAATTCGTTAATTATGTAGCTGAAAAGCTATAAAAAAGAAGTTGAAATTAAGTGTTTTCAAGCATCATAAACTATTGTAGTAATGCTATTATTACATAAACTACTTAGAGTTGACAAAAATAAACAAACATTATTTTTATCATTCATTGTTTTCCTTAAATATATTGCGAAATTCACAGTTTAGCATTTTTCACTGTTTATTCTTTCAGACTAAAAACAAGAAACATCCTTTTGATTTTTTTTTGTTGAAAAGTAGGTCACTAAACATCATGAGATAAAATAATCAAAGTAGTAAAAGTTTTCACTTTTCTGCAAAAAAGAAATCTTGAAATTTGCCAAAAATTTCTCCTTAATTTTTTAGAGCCAATTTTAAAACATTTTTTGACATATATTTAGCATTTTAATAATTTTAACGCATAACTGGTACCTTTATGTTTCTAATGACCCCTCCCTGAAAAAAAGACAAAATTTTTCAAAAATGAAAAAGTTTTAGAGGTTACTGACATATGAACCACCTTGTCAAACGACGCCCTTATGGTAAAAGAAATCAGATTTCTAAGTGCCCCTCCCCCTCGGTCCCACTTTTGGATCGAAAAATTCTGAACATTTTATTTTAGCTGTTTTTTATTAAGTATTTTCCTACAAAATTTTCAAAAATCTCTAAACGCAAATATTATATCTATCTATAAATATATATATATATATATATANTCAGATTTCTAAGTGCCCCCCCCCGGTCCCACTTTTGGATCGAAAAATTCTGAACATTTTATTTTTTTGCTGTTTTTTATTAACTATTTCCCTACAAAATTTTCAAAAATCTCTAAACGCAAATATTATATCTATCTATTAATATATATATAAATATATATATAAATATAAATATTTAATATGCAGTTTTCATTTGTGCAATTTTGAGTGTTTCTTTAAACTTGAAACAATTTTTAAAAGTAATCAATAGTTTCTAAAAAATATCAATTTTAAAATATTTAAATGAAAAAAGTTATTAAATTCACATAAAGTCTGATTGTAAAAAATTCATAAGGGCTAAAAAATAAGCACTGAAAAAACAAAAAAAACAATTATCATTTTACATCTTTCTTCGCAATCATTAAGTTAAAAAAATATTTCGTATTTAAAATACAAAAAATTATCAACGATAAAACAAAATTGCTTCGTAATTTTTTTTTAATAACTTGATTAAATAATAAAAAGAAAACTTAGGGAAATTGTAAAAAAAAAAATATTGATACTTTTAAAGACTATAATTAAAAAATTTGCAATATTAATCAAGAAAAGTTTTAATAATTACCAATAGGATATGATTCACTCTTTGTCGCGATTAGAAATAAAAGTAAAAAGCAATTTAAAAAGGGCATTTTTTTTTAATTCAAGTTGCTTATATTTTTATTATCTATAAAGGAAAAGTAAACCGATTACTCTATGAAGCAGGAAATATTTCATACATCACTTCCGACTTTAGATTTTAAACGAATAATCGAACAAGAATAGTGTGTGTAAGAAATGTAAGGAATATTTTATATTTTGCTTTAAATTATTTTAATTCGTGAACAAAAAGTAGTCGTTTAAAAACTAATAGTTTGCGTAGAGTGCGCAGAAAAGTGTGAACATCAAAAATAACTCTTAATTCGATAATCGGATGTTCACATTCTAGGACACACTTTATAATGATTCGGAGGTCTGACTTTAAATAGGCTAAGTGATTGTCTCAGGTGATATTTCAAGTTACGAAATCAAACACAAAACTCACTTTCTTTGAATAAACAAAAATTATTCTGACCTATGATTGACCCTCAACGCATAGAAGAGTAGCCGTAATCTGGAAAACATGCCTCCAATACTTTAGACAGGAGAGGGGTTAAAAGTATGGACCATTTTTTAATATTAATTCAGTTTGTGCATTTAGTTATAGCTCTGAAACCAATGAAATGAAATAATACCATTCTGCACACAATTATAAAACGGGCTATAATTAACAATAATTTCATGCGCATGAGCTGCAAGTACTTTGTTGATACTAATGCCACTTGCCAATGATGGCTAGCCTACTATGGGATTCCAAGCGAATTCAAGTCAGAGGGTGCGCTTCTTGTTTTTCAGTGGTGTCATCTAGGGCCAATAATACAACTTCAGCAACACACACGTCACAGTCCGTTTTACTCGGAGGACCCATTAATGTGTAACGACAGGCGTGGTGAGTATGCGAGGATTCCTCTCTCTCAATTGGTGACCCGGACGTGATTATTTAGGAAGCTTTAAGAAGCTTTCAGTATTTAAGAAATTTCGAGCTATGCTCTGTGCACTCTCATACTTAATTTTACTTTTCTATTTTTATCTTGTTATGCTTCAGTTGGTAATAAATGTTGTTTGATTTTTGTCGTAGTTGTCTTCAACTTAATATGAGAGGGTTCCTCTCCCTCAATCGGTGACCCGGACGTGATTATTTAAGAAGCTTCGAAGTTTTAAGAAGCTTCCAGTATTTAAGAAACTTCGAACTTTGCTCTGTGCACTCTCATACTTAATTTTACTTTTCTGTTTTTATCTTGTTATGTTTCGGTTGGTAATAAATGTTGTTTGATTTTTGTCATAGTTGTCTTCAACTTAATATGAGAGGGTTCCTCCCCCTCAATTGGTGACCCAAACGTGATTATTTAAGAAGCTTCGAAGTTTTAAGAAGCTTCCAGTATTTAAGAAACTTCGAACTTTGCACTCTCATACTTAATTTTACTTTTCTATTTTTATCTTGTTATGCTTCAGTTGGTAATAAATGTTGTTTGATTTTTGTCATAGTTGTCTTCAACTTAATATGAGAGGGTTCCTCCCCCTCAAATTCATCCACGGATCATAATTTTGAAGCATGGTTTCAAAACCGTAAAAAAGAAATTCAACTGGACATAGGAGCTAGGCTTTTGGGTTAGGTAATGACCATTAGAGAGAGTGAGGGGCACTGTAAGCTCTTCATGCGCTGTAGGAAAGGGGGGAAATATTGTAGAGTCGGGCTCCAATTCTGTTGGTCATGTGACAGACAGATTTGCCCTCTAGACTTCAATATGCATGCAGATGCAAGGAACTAGGTGGCTTCATTAGTTGGGCTAAGTTGATGGGATAGAATTCTGGTTGTTTAATCGTATTAAGTGAAATCAATTAATGAACCGTTTTTCAAACTGTTTACTATCTTATTTATGGTTATTTGACTATTTTGTTTGAATACGGTAAAACAACAATTAAATAAAAAAACGGGAGACGGCAAACCAAAATTTGCACATTTTTAATTAACTCTGCTAATTTTTTAAGAAGCTTCAACTGTAATTAAGTGGCTCGTCACATGAGCCTTTAGATTATTCAGAAGTAGATTAGACTTTAAAATATTTACTAAAACAAGAATTATTTATTAAAAGACTGCATGACTTTAAATCGGATGCGATTTGAAAATTGCGAATTTGACATAAATTTTTCTTGCTATTAAATATTTTTATGATGTCGAGCTTAGGTTTCGAAATTTTTATATTGCATCCTGAAAGAAAATAAACAAGTGCGCAAAAAGAAGGGGAAAAAATGGAAGGGCTTGAAGTACTTTTGATTTAATGATCGAATCTTAGCGTACTAGGACTCAATCTTAATGATTTAAGGAGGGGTGACCTCAGATCTGCTAATTAATTTATACAAACGATATTTTAAGTTCCTTAGAAATCGAATTTTGAATTTTTTCAAGTCGTGTATTTAAAATTCGATTTCTCAGAAACTATTCAGCCAATGTAGCTCAAATTTTGTATTTTACATTATAAAATTACATTCTTTAAATTTATACAAAAATTTGTACGCTCAAAATGTAAAAGTTTTCTGACTACAATTAAAAAAAATTTTAAAAAATTATTAAAAATTTTTTTCATGCAGTTATCTTTGGTTCTTTGGTATGCAGTTATTTTATATTCATGCGTAAAAATTTTGCAATTCGCTTAAAAAGTTCTCAGGATATAGCGAAATACACAAAAAGTAAAATTAACATTAAGGGATCCAAACTTTGAACCTGTCTCCTGACCAAACTATTGGGACTATATTACCCAAATTGTGGCTACACTCTATATTTTGAAGGGTAGAAATGCAAATCCGTTGAAAAAAAGTTGTGCTTATTCATAGAAAATGCGTTTTTTTGGCTGATTTCGTAACTTAAAATATCGTCTATGACAATTAATTAATTAGCATATTTGAAGTTCACATCTCAAACCAATAAAATTGAGTCCTAGAAGGTGAAGATCTGATTATTATATCAAAAGTTATTCAGAGTGTTTCGTAAATTGTTTTAGGCTCTTATTACAAAAGGCAAACTAATAATTTTATTCCAATATTCATATTGTTTTCCCTTTGTCTTTTAAATCTTCGATTGAAACCATTACGCAAAATTTATGCACCCTCCTGCATGAATTTAGTACTTTAGTTTGGTGCTTAACTATTTATTCTTTCTTGGTGAAATTATTTGGTTTTCCGTAATTCATATGCTGATAATAAGTATTCTTATGTTGCTCATTTAATCTTCATTTTCTCTTAAAAGAAAATTCTTTCTTCGAATTATGAAATTTGCATCAATGGAAAAAATAATAAGCGAAAGAAAAAATAATAATTCAAATTTTTAAAAATCTTAGACCCGCTTAAACAAACCCTTAACGAATTCAATAATTTAAATAGATAATACTGCCCAGCAACCTTGTTCAATAAGCTTTGAGTAGAAATTTACTTTATTATTTGTATTTTTTTAATAAAATAATTTTTTTTTCCACCAGTAAAACATTTTTATAATATGTTTGTTTTATCTGAAAAATCTCATCTTGTTTTTTTTTAAAGACATCTAAACTTTCTTTTCTAACTTTAAGCCAAGAAAAAAATTATTTTTCGAAATTTCAGTTCCTCAAATTAATTTCAACATGGCCTACTTATTCAACGATTCACTGTATGATTCAATAAAAAAATACTTTCTAAAATGTATCTTTAGAAGAAAAAAAATGCAAGCAAGCTCTGTGAACATAACAGAACTTAAAAAAAAATTGAAATTGTTTTTCTCCGCGACTTTTACGTAATGCTCATCTAAACCAATGCTACAGTATTATTATTTTTTTAAAATTAAGTTAGCGTAAGAATTATGAAACTAATGAGCATTGCACAATATTTAGAAAACAATAGTAAAAAAAAAACATACAATTTTACGAAAAAAGTTTTTTTAATATATATACTCGCTTGACCGGAAATATTTAATGAATCCTTATTGACATAGTTTAACGTGTGTAAGAGTTTCCTTATTTATAAACCAAGTCTTTATAAAGAAGCACAAATTGTTCAATTGCAAAAAGATATTTTTTTAAAATGCTTATCTTACTTCTGATATTTATTTCTCTCTCAGTGATTACTTCAGGAGATGAAAGTAAGTTACGGTTACCGTTCTATATACTTTAACATTTTGTAATAGAGAAATAATAGATATTTTTATTTATTTAGAATTACTTTAGATATTAATGCCATATATTTTATACAACGTCGGTGAGTTTTTAAATCTGAGCAGAGCTCGAAATGCATGTTTACGAAAATGGACGCAATTCAAAATTCGCGTTTTAAAAAATGAAGCTCAAAATGCGTGTTCACGAAATTGGATGCAGCTTAAAATACGTGTTCACGAAAATGGACGCAGCTCAGAATGCTTGTTTAAGAAAACGGACGCTTGATTCCGTTTCTTAAACTTCTTTTATGAGGATTGTTCGAATTTTTCAGAATGAGTAATTAAATCCTAATAATTTCATAATATGAATCCATTTGAAATTCTTTGCTAATTTCATTAAATTATAATTTTTTTTAAATAAAGCTTTTAAAGTCAAAAGTTTTTCTTATAAGGTTGCCACAGGTGCTAAAAATTTATAATAGTGGAAGATGATTCCCGTTGTATGAATTTAGAGTTTTTAAACTCATTTTACCGGTTAAAACTCTTTAAACGAATACACCAAAAAGTTACATCTGTAATATACCTCCCAATCCCAATATCCGGGACATTAACCCTTAATGATTATGCTTAGTGTTTAAATAAGTAAGGAAGTAAGCACGCGATTTCCCATTCAGTTGTAAAATTTGATTCTAGAACAAAAAATTGCGTCCATTTGCTTAAACACGCATCTCGAGCGGTGTCCATTTTTTATCATGCATTTCGATCTGATTCTATTTTCTTAAGCATTTATTCGAATTGATTCCATTCTCTTAAGGATGCATTTCGAGCTGATTCTATTTTCTTAAGCACTTATTCGAGTTTATTCCATTCTCTTAAAGATGCATTTTGAGCTGATTCTATTTTCTTAAACATGCATTTCGAGCTGATTCTATTTTCTTAAACGAGAATTTCGAGCTGTGTTCATCCAGCTGTGTTTCGAACTGTATTCATCATATGCACGCATTTAAAGCTGTTTCAATTTTCCTAAACACGTTTTTCAAGTTGCGTCCATACACGCTTTTGAACTATGTCCATTTTCTTAAATATGCATTTCGAATTGTGTCCATTTTCGAATACACGCATTTCAAATTGTGTCTATTTCTTAAACACGTATTTCGAACTAAGTTGATTTTCTTAAACAAGATCCATATTCTTTAACAAGAATTTTGAGCTTTGTTCATTTTAGTAAACACTCATTTTGAGTTGTGTCAAGATTTAAAAACTCACAGACGACTTTCTTCTTAAATTAGGAAGTTAGCGCTTAATTTTCCACCTCACTTTTTGCAGCGAAGTAAATATGCAATAGGTTAAAATATTGCTGTTATTAGTTCAGATATAGTACACATTTTCCGCACTATAGAACTGTTTAATATTTATTACATAATTTGTATTTTATTATTTTGCTTATTATCTTAGGAGTTTTTCATTTTTATCCTTACCATTTTTACATCTTTAATTTAGTTTTCTAAATTGTTAAGTTTCCAAAATAATTGAGCTAATTTTGTTTCCAAAATTTATCATTATCTATAGGAAAATATTAAGTTGAATATTTTGTTTTTGTTTTTTTTCTTGTCAAAGCCCACGGTTGCATTGTATTCATTTTAATTTCTTTAAGCAGATATTGTTACGTTATATTTAAAATTTACTAAATTAAAATATCCCAAAATGTTTTATTGCGTAAGTACAGAATTGATCATACTTCATTTGCTATCGATTCTATTGTGTGAAAACTTTAATTTATCCTTAAATAAAAATAAAAATTTATACCTAAAATACACCATTATTTATGAATGTAAGATCTGCAGACTTTAGATGTACATAACAAACAAGAAAATCAACGCAGTTTAAATAATTTTCGACAAAACGAGTTTTAGTTCCATTTACACTTACCTCAAATTTTATTACCTACTCTCAGAATTTGAATTTTTTATTTAAAAAAATTAAGAACTGATTCTAATGGACGTAACATGCACTGTTACTCTCCGTAATATTTAGTTTTCAATTTTTGAATAAATTTTTAAACTTATTAAGGTTACTTAAAATTGGATTACGTGTATCACGAGTTATTTTGAAAAGAATTATTAGGTCTGTTGATTTTTTTTTGTATTTCAAATACGTTAGACTGAAAATATGACATTTTTAAATTATGGAATCATTCTATAGAAATTTCATTGACATTTCTTTTAAAATTCTAATTTGATTTTCGATTACTTTAAAAAATGGTCAAGTATTTTTAGCCTAAAAATTATTGATAGAAATATTGTGAAATAATATATCTTCCGAATTCCGGGACTCCAACGAATTGCGGCAATTCATAATTTATCGCATTTTTAACAACGAACATATCTAATTAATTAAGTCTAATTAGTTCTAATTAATAAAATCTTAATTAAGTCTAAATTTTAAAGAGCGTTTGATTTGCTTGATGTCACAAAATCACACTTGATAGGTGTGTAGTAAATATCCCAATAAATTTTCAATACTGTTTGAAACTTAAAGTGATTTAAGTAAAATTTTTTTTTAAATTTCTTTATCATAAAACGCAGTATTGTAACGAGATTACTTTTTTGACATAAAAGCAGAAAAGAAATATTTTCTTAATTTTTTTTCATTTCTTAAACATACATATCACAAATATAAAAGTTATTTTAAAAAAAACGTGACTCAACTTAATTTTCACAATCATAATTGGGACTTTAAGTGATCACCGGTATTTCAATAACTTGATAAGCTTTAATTTCTTTTTTAGGTGATTTTTATTACGGAAAAAGTTTCACTTGTAAAACTGGTGACGTCATTGGATATTATCAGGTGTGCAATGGACAGAAAGAATGCCGAGATGGTAGTGACGAACTGAACTGTAAAGACAGAGTTTGCGAAAAAGAAGAATTTAAATGCTCTAATGGACAATGTGTTCATAAGTTACTCGAGTGTGACGGTAATTTGGACTGTGTTGACGATTCTGACGAAAAGCACTGCAGTAAGTGTTTTGAAAGTCATTTTATCATCATTTTTTAATTTTAATAATAATCAGCAAAAAAAATTCTTACCTTTAGATTGTTTTTCTTTATGACAAATGATTTATTACCCAAAATAATTCGAGAGTGATATTACGATTTGTGCTGAGAGCGATCATATTTTAATTATCATGATGTAGATATCGATATTGCACTGTATATCACAAAGTTTATTTTGCTAGGTATCATTTTCAATTTTCATTGGTCAATATTTTTGCAATGCAAATGGAAATTTCGTCATCACTAAAACTCCATTATAGTAATAGATAAAACTAGTTATATTATTGCACGCAGTAAATGTATATATATANTCATGGTTTCTCGCCCAGGAACAATGTTTTCATGGGGCACATTAGGACCCATAATCCTCATAGAACAATCCCTGACGTTTGTAAGCTACTTGAATATAGTTGCAGACCATGTTCACCCATTCATGGCAACAGTTTTCCCTGCTGGGGATGGTGTTTACCAACAGGATAATGCACCATGTCATAAGGGTCGAATCATCATGGATTGGTTCGAGGAACATTCCAGTGACGTTCAAGTCATGTCTTGGCCCTCAAATTCACCTGACCTTAATCCAATAGAGCATTTGTGGTCCTACTTGAAAAACCGAATTCGTGCTGTTTCGCTACCCCCTCGCAATGTGAGGGAATTGCAGGACCAGTTGGGGTGAGCTTCGTATCAGATACCTCAGACTACCTATCAGCACCTTGTGGAATCAATGCCACGGGGTGTGCTAGCATTTTTGAGGGCTAAAGGTGGTCCTACATGTTATTAGCAGGGTGGACATAATGTAATGGCTCTTCGGTGTATATATCTGTCCACAGTTTAAAAAGGCGTCAAAGCAACCAGCCAGTCGTACAATTTCCTATTTTTGTTCTATACCGTAAAGGAATGTTTATCTTATAAGTTAAGACCTTTTAATGAAAAAAAAAACACAAATTTAATGGATATTTAGAGATTGCAGTGGTTTTCCTCATCTTTCGCGTCGCTGCGCAATTTAAAAGGCCCTATTATTTTTATTTTGCCTCTGCGAGTAAAAAGTGCAAAGCATAATTTGTATGTAATATCGATTGAAACGAAAAGAATAATATGAGCTTTTAATTCATTCAGATTGCAGCAAAATCTTTAGCAAACCATTCATATGCAAGAGTGGCCAATGTGCAGATAGCTCATACGTGTGTGACGAATATCCCTTCTGTAAAGATGGAAGCGACGAAGAAGATTGTGACAAGAGAACGTGCCAAGAAGATGAATTCCGATGTTCCAGTGGACAATGTGTTGGAAAGTTTAACAGATGTGATGGAGCTTACAATTGCAGGGACGGAAGTGATGAAAATGATTGCGGTAAGATTTAAAAACTCCAAATTCTGTACCTATTTAACTTTTTAGTTTTATTGCCAAAATGTTAATTCGTTTAAAATATCAAAATTTATGGCAAACTATTCTAACAACTATTATCCAGTCTCAAATATTAGTTTAAATGGCTCATTATTATGGCAAATGTGAAGATAGCTCATGTGTAAGAAACGGACCTGCTTCCTCCAAAAATGGAAGCTGAAGATGGTTGTGACAAGAGAACTTGTCATAAATCTTTATGCTTCAGTGCACAGTGCATTGGAAAGTTTTGTAGATGCGATGGTGTTTACCGCTGCAGAAATCGAATTAATAAATTGGTCGGAAATGCTTAAACGTAATATCAGGATATTCTTATTGTTGATAATTATCTAGCATATAATATTTATCGTAACCCAAGACAAAGTTCTTAATGGTCCCATCAAATAATTTTGATGGTTTATGTTGGTTTTAGTGCGATTCATGATGATCCAACATCATTTGATGGTCATCATCATCCAAAGTTTTTCATTCTGCGTTCATGGTTTTTGATATACCAACGAACTTCCCTCATTCCATGGTGGAAAATGCTACTTTAATACTATGACGGTCAACCATCAAGAGAAGTTTGATTATCATGAACAAACAATCCATGATGGATCCAACTATACATTTCCATGATAGTTTAATGAGAATTCTTGTTGTTTTCAGGAATATACCATCAAAGCAATTTGGTTTTTTATGTTGGACCATCATAAATCAAATCAAATTCCTACATTAGGATGATGGTTTTTCATGATCGTTTCAGCATTTGACTATGATGAAAAAATAACAAACCTAAAATAAGCAAACCTTCAAAGCAAGTTGATATTCTTATGTTGGATCATCGTAAATCACTCCGAATTCCTACATTGGCGTGATGGTTACTTATGTTGGTTACCATCAAAAAGATAATGGTTCCTGATGGAATTATTAAAGGTTACCATCCATCTTATGTCGATCCATCAATGGAAAACCATCGAAAAGTTTGACTTGAGATGACACGATATATCATAAGAATAATTTTAAAATATCTTTACAGCAATTTTTAGAATATATCGAAGAAATATATCGATTGATGGTCTCTCTCTAATTAGCTTCTTTATTAAATTTATTCCATTAAAAAAAATTCAGAAAATATATTTGCACCCATGAAATACTTTTTTAAGTGTTAAAATCAGGAACTTATAATTTAGGTCGAAATATATTTAAAATTACACATCATGGATAAAGGATTTTTTTTATAAGATTTTGAGTTCAAATTGTGAATAACATAGAAAACAATACAAACTGGAGACAAAAAATCTCCGGAAAATTTGCAAAAAATGCACCTTTATGTATTTTCCTGCTTTAATTTCGTTGCTATTAAGATTTTAGCTAAGTTACCTTACATCCATTTTCAAAATAAAAAAATTTAAGTTTGCTAAAGTGAAGTGAAGTTAGTGCAGCTGCTGTACGAACTTTAAGTTAGTTTCTTAAGAATTTAATCACGAGTAGATTTATCTCCGTTAAATTTAATTGAACTAAGTGCACATACTTCACTTCACTTGCTTTTCGAAAGTATTTCTACGATTATTCTGGAATCTTATCATTTTTTTCTTATCACCGACTTTGAACATCTGACCTAATTTTGAGTTCACGACTTCCAATGTTCAACTCCGCTGCCTTGTAATTTTGAACCCAATCTGGAAAACAAGGGTTTATGTACTAGAAAATATTATTTGTCTTCAAGGGAACTTTTTTTTTTTGCTTCAACAAACCCCCTTTGCTTTACATGGTGCTGAAAACCAAAAAAAAAACCTCCCATGGGTAGCTGGACAGTAAGAGGCTTCTAGAGATTGATCTGTCTTCGCTGAAGATAATGAAGATATTTTAAATCACTGTGGTCGGTGCAACCCGGGTGCGTTCTGTCCCCTGAGCAACCACTGCTTTATGTCCGGATTTATATTTTATAACCAGCGTTGAACAACCGACTCAGTTTCAAGTTTACGGCAATCAGTGTTCAAATTCGTATACTTGAAATTTTAAACCAGGCCCAGAAGACAAGAAAACTTTGAGCATTGTGACAAACTAGAGTTCATGGAGAACTTCTTGATGTAACGAACCCTCATTTGCGTTACATGGAGATAGAAAATGCGAAAATCTCCCACGGTTAGTCCGACGGTAAGGGGGCTCTAATCCATGATCCTTCCACCAATGGGGATATTTTAAGTCGGTGTGAGCTGGAAGCAGGATTAGAATCGACCATGCAAGTCTGTGTATTTTTTAGGAGTTAATGATTATTAGAATAAAAAAAAAACCGTTAAGTATAGCGTAAAAACAACGATCATCTCCCACCACAATGAGGCTTAATTTATTTTAAGTACTGGTACATGATACAGAACTTGAACTGTTTAAAAAATTTAATAAATTTTAATAATTTTTTAGATGACTTTTTTTACGGAAAAAGTTACACCTGTAAAAGTGGTGACATCATTGGATATCATCAGGTGTGCAATGGACAGAAAGAATGTCAAGATGGCAGTGACGAACTGAACTGTAAAGACAGAGTTTGCGAAAAAGAAGAATTTAGATGCTCTAATGGACAATGTGTTCACAAGTTATTTGAGTGTGACGGTAATTTGAACTGTGTTGACGATTCTGACGAAATGCATTGCAGTAAGTGTTTTGAAAGTCATTACTTTTTTTTATTTTTTCATTTAATTAACTATCTACAATAAAAAACTCATTATCTACAATAAAAAACTTAAAAAAATTCTTAATGTTAAATGATGAAATCGATACATTAAAACTTTTAGAGTGATGTTTCGACCATTTCCTGGTGTTATCAAAATTTTATTATCATGATGTAGATAGTGATATTTTACCGTACATAGCAAAGTGTGCTTTATTTGTTAATTTTTTTTACTCAATTTCCTATTATGTTAATTTCATTATAGTTACATATAATACTATATATATATATATATATATGTATATATATATATATATATATATAGATTATGAATGAAGTTGGAATGGAAACTGAGTAAAATGATTAATTTTAAATGCAATCTCAATAGAATCGGAACTTAAATTTTTGGAACCAAATTAATACAATAAAAACAAAAATTATGAATTTTTATCTATCGATCTATTTATAGATAATAAAAAAATGTTGATTGCAAGGTAACCATAGAGGTTCCTGAATGTAGTGCCCAGCGGCTCCAATTTTTTTCTTCTTCTTTTTCCGGCTATAGAAACCTAAATGATCAAGTGCGTTTGGCGGAGAGCAGACTTTATAAAAAAGAAAAAATCCTTAGTAGTTATAAAATCCAAAAGAGAAAAAAAAAAGTCTGCTATTTATTTGATAATATGTAGCATGAGTGCCGTGATGTGTAGGGGGGATAGAGCGTTCACCTTCCAAAGTGACCCGGTTCGAATCCCAGCGACGGCTGGTGGATGCGAAATCCTCTTTCGGCTTGCACCGACTACAGTGCTAACGTAAAATATTCTTAGTGTTAGATGGATTANTATATATATATATATATATATATATATATATATATACACACTATTTACCAATATGTGTTGGGACACCCGTGCAAAAAAGGATATCTGCGGTCCTGATGTACTTCACACTTATTATCCTTAAATATTGTGTAGGAAACATCAATGGCATTAGCCGCATTCAAGATACCACGAGATTCAGAGCTGAGCGTAATTGTCAGGTATCATGTAGAAGCGTCTGATCCTTAAGTGATATACCTCGCGAGTTAAACGTACCAAAATCGATAGTGAATTTTGAGATTAAGCAGTAGAAGGTGAGTAGTGATTGTCGGAACGCACCTCGCCAATGTTTATAATATCGTGGTATTCTGATTGGTGATAATTATCGAATGCACGGTAGTTTTCGTAAGACATGATATTTACGATATATCACGAGAATATTTTTATAATATTGCTATTGCCGTTTTTAAAAAATATCGAGATGGTATATCGTTTGATTGCCCACCTCAAATTTTTCAAATTTTCCAAATATGTTCGAGTTAAAAAAAAAATTCGGAAAATACATTTTCACTCTTGACATACTTTTTTTTAAATAGTTTTTGTAAGTAAAATTTAGGGACTTGTAATTTACGTTAAAATACTTTTAAAAATTAGGCATCGCACATCCGGTATTGTTTTTTTTCTGATTATGCGGACGAGTTAAGAATAATATAAAAAACAACTTAAACTCTAAAAAAATCTCAATTTATGAAGAAAAGTCTATTTGTTTTTGGTTTTAATTATGCTTCAATTTCTGCGGTAAAGATTTTGACTAAATTACCTTACATCCATGTTTAACATCCCAGTAATTATTAAAGTTAATTAAAGTAAAGTAGAATTCATCCAGAAACTGAACAAACTTTGCCGTAATTTCTTAAAAATTAGATTGTAAGTTGATTTAGCTTCATTATAGTACACAGAACTAAGAAGCCCAAAAACCACTTAACTTGTTACCTTCTTAAGTTCCGAAAATTTCTTAAGACCATTTCTGAATTCCAGAATCTGAATAAGTCCAGTTTATAGATCAGAATCAAGTATAAACGATTCTTGGAATTGTAGACCACCATGTATATTGCTATATTGACGACCGCCACTGACCACAGACAGATTAAGAATTATCTGCCGATCTCATTTTTTTCGTCACATTTTATTATGATTTTATTTTAAAAATTTGGAATTATTATGAGTATTTTATAATACTAGTGGGCTGCGCTCCCTGCTCGCTAACGCTCGCCAACCCCCGAAAATTGCTACGCAATCTTATATGGTTTCCGTCGCAAACCAAGCTCGCTTCGCTCGCTATTAACTTAGGTATATTGCAAATGCACAAAATTCTAAGAATTCAGAACAATCATCCAAATCCATATGAAAACTTTTTTTTTAAAAAAAAATTATATCTTTTTAGTAAATACTAAGTCATTATAATAAATTTGAATTCAAATAAATCGTTAAACCTATTAGAAATGTGCTATAGTATAATTCGTGATATAAATCAAAAATCGTCAAATAAATTCGTAATATATAAATTCGTGAAAGAAGCGCTTTCGACAAAATACTAAAATAGAGATCTATCGACCAAGACTACTCACTTCTGCCTAGCTTAATAGTATGAGATTGCCGCAGCTGATGCTCTCCGGTTATTTCAGTTTCCGTTTTTAAAAGCGCTATATGTTGAGCCACGTCAGCTAGATTTGGCATGTGACATTTTTAGCGGCAATCATTTGTCGATTCGCCGTGTAAGAGAAATAGTAACGTAAACAAAACAAA